AAGAAGGAAGAAGAAGTAGGATGAAAAATATAGAAAATTCCAAGCCGGGGCAAAAAGTGTATTCTGGCAGTGCTCCGCCTAAGTGCTTGATCTGCAAGGATCCCTTTAATGCTAACAAATATCTGCAGTATGCTCTGCAACCGCTGTTCTGCAAGGAGCTCCGCTAAGAAAATAGGCGGAGCTCTGCAGATTGCACTTATTTGCGGCTTGGGAATTCTCTTCTTCCATCCTTCTTCTTTTCTCATCCTTCTTCTTCTTCTCATCACTTCTCCTTCTTCTCATCCTCCTTCTTCTTCTCATCCTTCTCCTTTTCTCTCTTCTTCTTCTTCTCATCCTTTCTCCTCTTCTCGTCCTTTCTTCGTTCTTCTCATCCTTCTCCTACCCTTCTTCTCATCCTCCTTCTTCTCCCCCTTTCCACTCCCACCCCTCCAACCCACTTCCCTCTCATCTTCCCCTCCACTCTTTCGCTTTCTCCCCTCCTTCACCTCACCTCTCCCTCCTATTTTGATTTCTCTCCCTTCTCTACTAATCTACTCGCCCAGCTATGCTTCCTCCCTTCCTGTTACATTCGGTCGCCTCCTTCACTCGTCGCCTGCCACCAGCCACCTCCTGAATCTTACACATTTTTGGCTCCCTACTTTCCTCTCCCCATTCCCCTGTTCTTTACCCCTTCTTCACCTCTCCTCTCCCTCAGCCATTTTAGGGGCATTTAAATTAAAGGTACAGTGTTCTGCCTAATTTAAAGGCCTCTGAACCTAGAAACCCTTTTTTAAGTTAATTTCGACAAATTAAAATTTCGCACGAACAAATTTCTTCCGGGAATACCCGAATCAGCCAATCGAATTTTGAAAATTCCGTCTCTCAATCACAAAGATGACAAATCACGGTGGAACTATCTTGCTTTGCATGGAATGAGTCTCATATATTAGTTTCACCTTTTAATGTTGCTGCACTGAAAACAATGAACTTTTTGCACCAGATTCTAATTGTTTAGTTTCACCTGTGTAATGTTCCTCTCTCATGTCCTCAGAGTAGATCACTTTCGGAGGTAGCAAGGTTGAAGGCCAGGGGCATCTGCAAGGTTGCCATCCTCCACTGGAAGTCCATAGGCATGCAGGCAGACCTATAGTATGAAAGGAACCCACACTGCGGTGAGCACCAACTAATTGCTACGCACTCTTCACACCTGAGTGTCCCTGCAACTCCACCGTTTGCCAGTGTTAGCATCCCTGGTGCTCCTTACAGGCCACTCGGATTTGTGCTACCAGCCTAGATCCTCTCCAGCTGTTCACCCATGTTTATCACACCTGAGCCAGGACTTTTTGACTGTGAGAGGAGCAGCGCAAAGTAGCTGTTTATGTACTGTACGGTCTGTACCCACAGGAATCTACGATCGCTGCCACCGAACAAGCGACAATCGCACGACCGCGACTAACAGTAATAACGTCACACCCACGGCATCAGTCCCCCCCAGACCTTCTCAACCATAAGCTCGTAGTGACCGAGAAAAACCGGCCCGATCTAGAAAAAACCGCGGTGTGACCGCGCGAAACTAGGCCACCACTTCAATCAAGCACCATCAGCACAACGCACAGCGATTAGCCCAGCTAGATGTTACCTACAATCGGTGCCTTCATGTCCTAATAAGCGCTTTTTTAACAGGGTATTCGGCTTAATTACGCAACCTAACCCTCTACTGCCACCACTACCACAATTGCCGGAGACAGGGAAAACTCCCGTTATCAAATATACACTATAATGATTGAAATATTGATCTATATAGCACGGACCCGCGGACCTGCTATACAGAGATATACCAAACAGTAGCGTCCTCTTCAAAAGCAGGAATTCATGAATTGCAAGTAAGCGCTTAGAAAACAGATTAAAAAACACTTTCAGAAAGAAAGATTTATTACTAAAAGGGTCAAACAGTACACAAAAAATTTACAAAGAGATGATGTCACAAAAATATATATATATGTATATAAAGACACAGCAAAGAGATAATTAGGAAGAAGATTACATGGTTAAAAGTTACTTGCCCCCCCTTAGCCTGGGTTTGCAGATCCAAGTTGTAGAGCAGGGTGATTTCTTGATCTCCTTTTGTTACGATGTTGCAGGGAGAAAAATCTCTGTGTGTGTGTGTCAAGCTCTAACTCAACTTGTCTCTTCTTAAAAGTCCCTCTCAAGGGGGGGGCTCTGACTACACGTTTTGGGAGTGGTCAGTGGGAAACTCTGTAATTAACTACAGCTTCATAATACATGACATGAAACATACGGTTGACCTGAGGAATGTGCAATTACTCTGGTTTTGATAATGTGTGGGCCTTACACCGTTTTGGGTCAATGCTTCCCAGCTCTCTGAAAAAGGCTGGCCTTATCAGAACGTAGGTGAGAAAGGTGACAGTTTTTCCCAGACTGCTGGCGCCACCAGGGATGCCTTAACTGGTTGACCTGCACCATCCGTCAGGAGATAACGTTTGCCTCTCAGGACTGAAAGGGGGGGATGTGAGGAATGATTGAGGAATACCTCAAATAACAGAAAGGAACAAGAAAAAGAAGAACTCCCGCTTCCAGCTCTGATGAGCTAGTTTGTTACACCTCTCCTTAAGTGGGTGCCAAGGAGGGAGCTACAGGTTCCCTACTGACGCAACCGACCTCTGTCCAGAGGTTCCTCTTGGGAAGTCCGGGTACCGCTGTACTGCAGGAGAACCGAATTCCGTCTGAACAGGAAGCCGTTCTCCCCAGCAGCAACTGCTGGGCCGACCAAGTGAGTGTGTCACGGGTGGGTACCAGTCGGCTGTGGCTATCCGAAATCCCGTGGCAACTGCCGGGGTGCCCACCTGTTCACAAAACTTCGGCTCAGGGGTTGTCATTTGCTAACATATTAATATGTAGCTTCTTGTCGAGGTAGAGAAGGAGATTTCCCTCTCCTACCTTCTTCCTCAGGCTTAGGACTACATCTGGCCTGAAGGTAGTAGCGCTTGTGGGCACTGGAACCGGACAGGCAAATTCTGGGCCTCGCCTCCCAGTGGTGTCCACAGGTACCTTCATCCAAGATGGACAGTCCTCGTTCCCTGCTAGCATCGAGGACACCAGTTCCTCCAGTTTCCTGTCTGCTAGGTCAGTCACAGGTCCAGCTGAGCTATGATCATCGCATCCAGGCCTCTTACCGTAGCCAGCTGTACCCGCGACTGACGTAACCTGCTTTTTGGCCTGGGGAGATGACCAGGCCTCAAACTGCCTCAGTTTCCCCACGCCAGACCTCTGGGGGTCTCTTCTTACTGACGGGTTCCTAAACGGAACCACTGACATGCCCCTCTGACAGTTTACCCTTCTTGACTGTCAGACTGGGCACGGGCGGTTGGTTCCAGACTAGTGACAGGGGCCCAAGTGGCTCTTCCCAGATCAAGTGGACAACTGCACCCAGGTCCACTGCACATTGTGGGCCATTCCTGACCGCTGGAGTGGCGGTCGGTGCATCCTCAACCCCAACTAGCTTTCCTGTGAAGTCAGGCAAGCCACATGGGGTAGTGAAGGCTGCCTCGTCTTGAGCTTGCTGGGTTAGAGAAGGTGGCCCATACTCCTTGCTCAGGTCCATGATGGCAAAACAGTAGGCACCTTCCAGATGCTCCATTATCTCATGGCTCCTGGGCATGGGGTAGCCCACAAACACAGGGCTGGCGTTCAGTGTCGCCCAGACTCTAGCTGACCCCTGGATTCCTGACTGTGCCATTCCCTTTGCCTCTGTGGCCCAGTCAGCCGGCACCTTCTGAATCCAGACACCATCTATCAAAGGCCTGGGCAGCAGCTCCGGAACCCGGGTGCCAGGGAAGGGTGATTGGGTCTGGGCCCGGCGGCCCTCTTTCTGTAACCCACGCATCAACCTTCCTTCCACTCGTAATCCAGGCCTGCTGCCTCTGACCTTTGTCTGTCTGCCTGTGAACACACCTTGACAAGTGAGATTAACTGACAGGTTTCCAGGCTCCCAGCCCCCAGTGACTAGGCCAGTCTTTTGTTTACTCTTCCCAGCAGGGGGGCCCAGCCCTGGCCACAAGCTGAAATCTCCATATGAATGGCTTTCCAGAGCAGTCTTCCCTGTGGGACTACAAATCTCAGTTAGCTTACCTCTGAAGGTCCATTGAGACTCACTTTTCAGGGCTGCCTGAAGTGTGAAACTGCAAGTCCCAGCCAGCTTACCACTGAAGGTCCTTTGGGACTCACTTTTCAGGGCTGCCTGAAGTGTGGAACTGCAAGTTCCAGCCAGCTGTGGTGTGCCTTCCTTAGCAGGGCAACTCACAGCTAGCGGACCTCTGAAGTTCCTTTGGGAATCGCTTTTCAGTGCTGCCTGAGGCGTGGAACTACGAGTCCTAGCCAGCTGCCTAGTCCTACGCAAGGCCAACGGCTGGGCACTTATCAAGGCACAATCTTCTGAGCCTGGGCAAGGGACAGGCCTATCCAAATCATCCCCTTGCTCAGCCCCCAACACTGAAAATGCATCCTTTGTTTCATCACAAATCTCATTGTTAGCATTACCAACATTGCTGTAAACAATACAAACATTATCAATGACATTACTATCAATGTTATTCCCAATGTTACTAACATTAGTAAGATCACCCTCAGTGTCACCACAACGATCCTCAACAGTCACGTTCATAATATCAATGACACATGAGTTCAATACCTCCCCAGACAAGGGGATTTCTTCTTGTTCTCCAGCTAATGGAGAATCCTGTAGCCCCACACCATTCCCAGCCCCATCCCTCTGTCCATCCACCGGTGGCCCAGACATTACCCCAATATCTGTCCATAGTTCCTTGGCTGGTCCAGAGAGTTTCCAGAGGGCCCTTCCAGGTCTTCTCGGCAGGAGCATAATACGAAACAAGAGTGCCTAGGTCAGCACCCAACAAAACAGGTGTGGGCAGTTCAGCTGAGACCCCCACTTCTCTCATCCCCCTCCCCGCACCCCAATCTAGGAATACCTTTGCACAGGGTATGCGTGAATGGGTCCCCCCCCAACTCCTGTGAGGGTCAGGAACTTTCCTGGGATGAGGTTCTGTGGCTCAATCAGCTCTGGCCAGATCAAAGTGACTTCTGCCCCGGTGTCCCGGAAACCAGTTGCAGACCGGTTGCCCACGGTAACGGGCTGCAAGTTGGCGGGGGTTACCCGCATCTTCCTGCGAACGAACAGCACAGAAGAAGAGTTGCTGGCCGGCTGGCCAGATGATGTCATCTGCTTCTGCTCAGGACACTGCGTCCTGAGATGTCCGCTTTTCCCACAGGTGAAACATCTGCGGGTGTCAGGCAGGAATGGCTTGGCCCCAGGAGCTGCAGGGTTGGGCGGAGGTGAAGCTTGTCTCACTGAAGTAGGAGAAGTTGCTAGGGACGATTTCCCCCTTTCCAGCTGTTCGGAGGAGCCTTGCGAGGTTCAGGCACTCGCGTGTGGACGAAGGTATCTGCCAGGTCTGCTGCAGCTGTAGTAGATGCTGGCTCCCTCTCCAAGACGAACTGTCTGATGTCTGCTGGGCAAATGTGTAAGAGTTGATCTCGGATCATGAGATCCTCCAAAGCTTCATAGGAGTCAGCTTTCAGTCCCTTAGTCCACTGTCGGAATGTGGTGCGTAAGCGACTCGCCACATCCGTGTAAGAGTCCCCAGGTCCTTTCTGCATGGACCTGAACCGCTTGGGGTACACTTCCGGGGTCATCTGGTACTTCCGGATAATGGCATCTTTTAAAAGTTCATAGTCATCATCTTGCCCCTCTGGCAATTCAACAAACGCGTTCAGGGCCTTGCCTTGTAGCCCTGGTGTCAGGTACCGAACCCATTGAGCTTGGGGCACATGGTACTGATGGCACGTTTTTTCAAAGGACAGTAAGTACGTGTCAATGTCACTGTCCTTTTCCATCACTGGAAACTTGGCTGCGCCCACGGAAAGAGTGGCGTCCCTGTGATCTAGGGACCCGAGGTTCTGACCCGGTCGCTGCTGGAGCCTTGACATCTCCATCTCGTGCCGACGATCAGCTTCCCTCTGCACCGCCTCTCTCTCAGCCTCTCTTTCAGCTTGGCGTTCCGCAGTTTCTCTGTCAGCCGCTGCTTGGCGTTCCGCAGTTTTCTCTGTCAGCCTGGCGTTCCATGAACCGCAGGTATGCCTCCAGATCTGTCTCCATGAGGCGTTTCAGGGCCTCCTGCATCTGAGAATAATCTCTGCTGGTTCCAGGCACCACGGTGCTAGCGCACTCAGGTGGTGGTGTGACGTTAATCTTTGGTGATCCTCCAGGGTCAGTCTCTGTATGCCCCTCCTGTGAGGCCGTCTCTGAGCCACTGGCAATGTGGGTAACGGGAACCCCTCCATGTTCAAGTTCCCCTGAGTTCTGATTTGCTCGGATATCATACTCCACTAGATCACTAATCAAATCTTCACGAGTTTTGCGACCGACGTCCAACTTTCAAATCACCTTTGCTCATTTTCTCGTAATCTGCTTCACCAGGCATAATTGCAAGCAAAGATAGAAAAGAAAAAGTAGGAAAAGAAAATAGCTGTTGCTATGTGTCTCTCTATACACACATATATATAAAATAAAATATGCACCGCTTGTTTCTAAGGACAGTTTCCATAAAGGTTACAATCCTTCAGTGCAGAGCCAACTTTTAACACTGCACTGAAGCTCTTACTGCAATCATCCCACGTATGCTGCCAACAATATGTCACGGATCCACGGTCGCCGCCACCAACAGGGCGACAATCGCACAGCAGCGACTAACAGTAATACGTCACGCCCATGGCGTCAGACCCCAGACCTTCTCACCAAACTCGTGACCCAAGGACCGGCCGATCTTAAACCACGGTGTGACGCGCGTAACAAGGCCCCACCCAGCTGCACCCAGCACAGCGATTGCCCAGCTAATGGACTACAATCGGTGCCTGCAGCCTGAATGCGCTTGTTACTGGGTCGGGTTAATTACGCAACTAACCCTCTACTGCCACCACCACTTTTGTCGGAGACGGGGAAACTCCCGTTATCAAATATACACTATAATGATTGAAATATTGATCTGTATAGCACGGCCCGCGGACCTGCTATACATAGATATAACAAACAGTAGCGTCTCTTCAAAGGCAGGGATTCGTGAATTGCAAGTAAGCGCTTAGAAACAGTTTAACACTTTCAGAAAGAAAGATTTATTACTAAAAGCGTTGGATGCAAAATAAATATGTACAAAGAGATGTCACAAAAATATATATATATGTATATAAAGACACAGCAAAGAGATAATTAGGAAGAAGATTACAGGGTTAAGTTACTTGCCCTTAGCCTGGGTTTGCAGATCCAAGTTGTAGAGCAGGGTGATTTCTTGATCTCCTTTTGTTACGATGTTGCTGGGAGATCTCTGTGTGTGTGTGTCAAGCTCTAACTCACTTGTCTCTTCTTAAAAGTCCCTCTCAAAGGGGGGGCTCTGACTACACGTTTTGGGAGTGGTCAGTGGGAAACTCTGTATTAACTACAGCTTCATAATACATGACATGAAACATACGGTTGACCTGAGGAATGTGCAATTACTCTGGTCAGTTTGATAATGTGTGGGCTTACACCATTTTGGGTCAATGCTTCCCAGCTCTCTGAAAAAGGCTGGCCTTATCAGAACGTAGGTGAGAAAGGTGACAGTTTTCCCAGACTGCTGGCGCCACCAGGGATGTCTTAACCTGGTTGACCTGCACCATCCGTCAGGAGATAACGTTTGCCTCTCAGGACTGCAAAGGGGGGATGTGAGGAATGATTGAGGAATACCTCAAATAACAGAAAGGAACAAGAAAAAGAAGAACTCCGCTTCCAGCTCTGATGAGCTAGTTTGTTACACGGTCTACTGCCATTCTCACCCTGTCTGCGTTGTTAATCCGACTCTGAACCTATCTAGAAAACTTCGAGTTGCAGTCACCCTCTTTCTGATCATTTGACTCTTCTCCTCCCCCCCCACCCCCCCCAGTTCAGTTTTATTTGTTTGCTTCTACCTGCTGTTAGGAAGGGTCCCTGGCAAAAGTGTTTGAAGATAGGACAATTCAGAATATATAAGTCTCCCTGGAAGACTGCTAGGTGGTTTATAGCCAGTGGTGCATGCTGGGAAAGCATATAAATATTTGGGCCGACTTCCTACAAACATTCTTACCACATGGGCAAGAGCCGTGAGAGGAAACTGTGTGTTGAAGGCTTGCCTGCTGCCTGGGGAGGACTACTTCTAGGAGAGTAGGCCGAGTCTGGGGCAGGATTGATGCTTGGATAGCTACTCAAGAGTGTTGGGGAACTGGGTGGAAGCTACTGCCAGTGGACATTGTAGGAAGTTCTGGTGGCTTATAATCCAGGGGGTACGTGGGCTACATCAAAGCTGCTATACAGTGTGAAGACAACAGAGTGCTGATTCCAGCTTAAAGATTTGTTTTCCTAACTGACTATAAGTAGAGTTTGCATTTTTGGGCATCCGTAGCACTAACCCCTCTTTCCCTGAGTTTAGGGTCCTATAATAAACTCTGGTAAACCAACCTAAAGTGATTTCTTTTGCTCCACAAAGAGTCAAGGATTCTGCCCCATGGTGAAATACTGGCCCACGGAGCCATCTTGGGGTCCTTCACCATTGCCTACGGGTAAGGGGTGCTGCAGTTGGATCCGGCAACACCCCCCCCCCCCCCATTCTGGGCCTTTCCAACTCTGCGTTCAGTGATCCTCAGACAGATCCTCTCTCACTGGGAGTTCTTTGCCTGGACAGGAATGTGGTGTAGCCACTGTAACCCCGTTCCTATGGTTCCTGACCAGGGGCGGACTGACCATTTAGAAACTCGGGCACCGCCCGAGGGCCCAGGGTCATTAGGGGGCCCCATGAGATGCCCCTGGTACCTTTTTCATAGGCTTTTTTGAGTTTGGGCAAGGACACAGGGGCCCCATGATCCCCTATTGCCCAGGGGCCTATGAGTTGTCAGTCCATCCCTGTTCCTGACCATTCTGATATCTTCACCCCCTTGATCAGCTATGTATTTATTTATTTCAGGTACTTATATATCGCCATCAATTTACGCAGCGCTTTACGTATATATTGTACATTCACATCAGTCCCCGCCCCTGAGGAGTGTACAATCTAAGGTCCATAACTCACATTTATCTACTAGGGCCAATTTAGACAGGAGCCAATTAACCTACCAGCATGTCTTTGGAGTGTAGGAGGAAACCCACGCAGGCACAGGGAGAACATGCAAACTCCAAGAAGGTGGTGCCATGGTTGGGATTTGAACCAACAACCCTAGTACTGCCAGGCAGAAGTGCTAACCATTAGCCACTGTGCTGCCCTGGCTCTAGCTCCTGACCACTCTATCATCCATGTATGACCTTGGCTTGGATCCTGACCTCAACAGAGTCATTCCAGTTGGCCTCATCCTGCACCACCTTTACCTACTGCAGGAGTAGGCATCTTCCCAACTGCTGGGCCTGACCTGCTCTTCCACACTGTTCCCTCGTGTCACTGCTGAGGTCCTAATCTTCCTGCCAAGAACTACCCAGCTGACCCCCTCTTGGAGCAACCACCATTGCCACCACCACCACTTCCACCATGTCATCACCTCCAGGGGGGGGGTTGGACCAGAGTCACAATGGAAGCCCTCTTGTCACTTCCACCTCCAACCTGGTGCATGACTGATATGTTCAAAGGCTTTACAAATGTTTCCTCCTTGGACTTTGTGTGATGCCTACCCCACCATATACCAAACCTGTAAATCGACTTGGGAGAGGGAAGGGAGCTGCTCATTGGCTGAGACTGAAAGATGTCATACTTTGGCACCTCGTATCTCGTACTGATTCATTTCCTGAAGAGATCTTTCTATGACGCCGGATACTCACAATTCTTCATCTTAGCGAAGAATCCCCCGTCTTTTGGTAGAGATCCCCCCTCCTTCTTCTTCATGCTGGCGTGGAAATCATTCAGCATTTGCTTCTGGAAGACGACGACTTTCACCATCTGGACAGATTGGGGCGATCTGGCGAAAGCAGCCACCGATTCCAAAATGGAGTCCGCCACCACCAATGAGGAGACGTTACCCATACCTGCCACACAGAGCACAAGAGTATAGTTTAACAGAAAACTAAAATCAAAAACAAAAATCTCCTGTACTGTAGATTCCCAGTCCTCAGATGTGGACGCTGCATTTGTTTTCTTTTTCTATGCTGAGATAATTTTCAGCAAGAACATAATCATGCCAGACATGAATGGTGTGCCATTGAATGGTGTCAGCGGGAGGAATGAAGCTATAATAATGGTGTCAGTGGGAGGAATAGTGCCCCATTGTTGGTGTCAATGGAAGGAAAACCACCCCATCGTTTGTGTCACTGGGAGGAATAGTGCCCCATCATTGGTTTTAGTGGAGAGAATAGTGCCCCATCATTGGTATCAGTGGGAGGAATAGTGTCCCATCATTGGTGTCAGTGGAGGAATAGTGCCCCATCATTGGTGTCAGTGGGAGGAATAGTGCCCCATCATTGGTGTCAGTGGGTGGAATAGTGCCCCATCGTTGGTGTCAGTGGAGGAATAGCGCCCCATCATTGGTATCAGTGGGAGGAATAGTGCCCCCATCGCTGGTGTCAGTGGGAGGAATAGTGCCCCATCGCTGGTGTCAGTGGGAGGAATAGTTCCTTATCATTGGTGTCAGTGGGAGGAATAGTGCCCCATCGTTGGTATCAGTGGGAGGAATAGTGCCCCATCATTGGTGTCAGTGGGAGGAATAGTGCCCCATCATTGGTGTCAGTGGGAGGAATAGTGCCCCATCATTGGTAGCAGTGAGAGGTGTCAGTGGGAGGAATAGTGCCCCATCATTGGTGTCAGTGGGAGGAATATTGCCCCATCATTGATGTCAGTGGGAGGAATAGTGCCCCATCATTGGTGTCAGTGGGAGGAATATTGCCCCATCATTGGTGTCAGTGGGAGGAATAGTGCCCCATCATTGGTGTCAGCGGGAGGAATAGTGCCCCATCATTGGTGTCAGTGGGGGGAATAGTGCCCCATCATTGGTGTCAGTGGAGAATAGTGCCCCATCATTGGTGTCAGTGGAGGAATAGTGCCCCATCATTGGTGTCAGTGGGAGGAATAGTGTCCAATCATTGGTGTCAGCCCCATCATTGGTGTCAGTGGGGGGAATAGTGCCCCATCATTGGTATCAGTGGGAGAAATAGTGCCCCATCATTGGTGTCAGTGGGAGGAATAGTTCCTCATCATTGGTGTCAGTGGAGGAATAGTGCCCCATCATTGGTGTCAGTGGGAGGAATAGTGCCCCATCATTGGTGTCAGCGGGAGGAATAGTGCCCCATCATGGTGTCAGTGGGAGGAATAGTGCCCCATCATTGGTGTCAGCGGGAGGAATAGTGCCCCATCATTGGTGTCATTGGGAGGAATAGTGCCCCCTCATTGGTGTCAGTGGGAGGAATAGGCCCCATCATTGGTGTCAGTGGGAGGAATAGTGCCCCATCATTGGTGTCATTGGGAGGAATAGTGTCCCAGTGGAATAGTGCCCCATCATTGGTATCAGTGGGGGAATAGTGCCCCATCATTGGTGTCAGTGGGAGGAATAGTGCCCCATCATTGGTGTCAGTGGGAGGAATAGTGCCCCATCATTGGTGTCAGTGGGAGGAATAGTGCCCCATCATTGGTATCAGTGGGGGAATTGTGCCCCATCATTGGTGTCAGTGGGAGGAATAGTGCCCCATCATTGGGAGGAATAGAGCCCCATGTGTCAGTGGAGGAATAGTGCCCCATCATTGTGGTGGGAGGAATAGTCCCCATCATTGGTGTCAGTGGGAGGAATAGTGCCCCATCATTGGTGTCAGTGGGAGGAATAGTGTCCCATCATTGGTGTCAGTGGGAGGAATAGTGCCCCATCATTGGTGGAGGAATCAGTGGGGAGGAATAGTGCCCCAATTGGTGTCAGTAGTGCCCCATCATTGGTGTCAGTGGGAGGAATAGTGCCCCATCATTGGTGTCAGTGGGAGGAATAGTGCCCCATCATTGGTGTCAGTGGGAGGAATAGTGCCCCATCATTGGTGTCAGTGGGAGGAATAGCGCCCCATCATTGGTGTCAGTGGGAGAATAGCGCCCCATCATTGGTGTCAGTGGGAGGAATAGTGCCCCATCATTGATGTGAGGATGAACAATGCCCCAAGGGTTGGATAAAGGTGAGTAAAGGGCCACATTTGTTTTCTTCCACTGAGTTAGTAAATGAGCAATCTGCTTCAGCCAAATGGAATGACTGTAATTGGTAGCCAAATGCACCAATCAGCACCGTTCAGTTCTTTTGTGTGAATGGTGATCAGCTCCAATGGGTGAACCAATCTGATTGTGATCTGGTGAGGGGTCCTTTAGAGATGGCGGTGACCCGGAGCAGGAATATGATACGTGGGAGTATTTATCAGACCACACACCTGTCCCTATGGCGGGAAGGCCACGGATGTCGCCTGGAGTCGGGCGCATTCGGTCAGAGCCTCGGTGATGAACGTTTTGATTGCAGTGGCTGAGTTGGTGCCGACCATATGGAGGATCTTCTTGCAGCGAAGATTTCCGTTCTGTGTCACAATATGATCCTTATTACCCTGAGATCCTGCAGACGGAACAAATCCAATAATAGATAACCGGCACCAGGGATTGGCAGAGAGGGGTGGAGGACACTGAGTGGAGGCCAGTGGAGGGATTGGCAGAGAGGGGTGGAGGACACTGAGTGGAGGCCAGTGGAGGGATTGGCAGAGTGGAGGCCAGTGAGAGGGATGGAGGACACTGAATGGAGGCCAAAGGAGGGATTGGTAGAGAGGGGGTGGAGGACACTGAATGGAGGTCTGTGGAGGGATTGGCAGAGAGGGATGGAGGACACTGAATGGAGGCCAAAGGAGGGATTGGCAGAGAGGGGTGGAGGACACTGAGTGGAGGCCAATGGAGGGATTGGCAGACAGGGATGGAGGACACTGAATGGAGGCCAAAGTAGGGATTGGCAGAGAGGGGTGGAGGACACTGAGTGGAGGCCAGTGGAGGGATTGGCAGACAGGGATGGAGGACACTGAATGGAGGCCAAAGGAGGGATTGGCAGAGAGGGGTGGAGGACACTGAGTGGAGGCCAGTGGAGGGATTGGCAGAGGGGGTGGAGGACACTGAGTGAAGGCCACTGGAGGGATTGGCAGAAGGGGGTGGAGGACACTGAATGGAGGCCAGTGGAGGGATTGGGAGAGTGGGGTGGAGGACACTGAGTGGAGGCCAGTGGAGGGATTGGCAGAGAGGGGTGGAGAACACTGAGTGGAGGTCAGTGGAGGGATTGGCAGAGAGGGGGTGGAGGACACTGAATGGAGGCCATTGGAGGGATTGGCAGAGTGGGGTGGAGGACACTGAGTGGAGGCCAGTGGAGGGATTGGCAGAGAGGGGTGGAGGACACTGAGTGGAGGCCAGTGGAGGGATTGGCAGAGAGAGGTGGAGGACACTGAGTGGAGGCCAGTGGAGGGATTGGCAGAGAGGGGTGGCAGACACAGAAAGGTTAGTAAGGTGAATGAGTCTGGCAGCAGCATTCATGATAGACTGAAGAGGGGATAGCCTGTGATGAGGTTGGCCAATGAGGAGGGTGTTACAATAGATAACCAGGGTGTTGACAATGTATTGGCCGTGTGGCGAGGTTCAGTATCAAAGGTTATGGCGGCATTTTTGGGGAAAATGTCGTCTGATAAGCATAAGCCCCACCCATGTGGTCACCTGACCAAAAGAGACAAAAGGACATTGCGCAGGATTGTGACCCGAATAAGAAAACAACAAGAGTGACTGCAGAGCTGAATCTCAGTCCCGTGAAGACTGAGATTGAGCTCTGCAGTCACTCTTGTTTTTCGTATTCCGGGTCACAATCCTGCGCAATGTCCTTTTGTCTCTTTTGGTCAGGTGACTGTGTGGGCGCGGCTTATGGTTATCAGGTGACACATTTTTATTATCCATAGGAGATGCTTTAAAAGCCCTCACAGGTCACCACTTTAGGTTTACAGAGGAGGTCTGGTGCTAGAATTAATGCCCGTGATCTAACGTTCGTGGCGATACGTCACATGTGTGCGCTGACTGCTGGCGTGCGGGACCGACCCATGTGTTCGCCTTTGCGTGCCAGCACGGTGGGGGCGGGGGGCACCTTAAAAAATTTTTTACTCTGTTGCTTACATTTTTTTTTTATCACTTTTATTGCTGTCACAAAGAATGCAAACGTCCCCCGTGACAGCAATAGGCACATGACAGGTACTTTTCATAGAGGGATCTGGGGTCAATATGGCACCATTTGTGGCCAGGAGTGATGTAAGGTCATCGCTTCCGTGTTACTATATCACAGAGCCAAACAAAGCCGATCCGGTCTTTGTTGGGTGGAAGGGCTGGCTGGTCAATCGGGACTCCTGGTGGGATGGGAGATCCTGTTAAAGCTGCGGAAAGTGCCTGAGGGGTGGGTGTCCCTTCCCACTGCTTGCAATAGCAACCGAGAGGCTAGTTAGCCGATCCGACTGCCATTACATGGAAGCCAAAAGTATTGGCCCCACCCTCCAAATCATGTGATTCAGGTGTTCCAATCCCCTCCATATCATGTGATTCAGGTGTTCCAATCCCCTCCATATCATGTGATTCAGGTGTTCCAATCCCTTCCCAATCATGTGATTCAGGTGTTCCAATCCCCTCCATGGACACAGGTGTATACAATCAAGCCCCTAGGCATGCAGACTGCTTCTACAAACATTGGTGAAAGAATGGGTCGCTCTCAGGAGCTCAGTGACTCCAAGCGTGGTCCCGTGATAGGTGGCCGCCTGGGCAATAAGTCCATCCGTGACATTTCCTGGCTACTAAATATTCCACGCTCAACTGTTAGTGGGATTATAACAAAGTGGAAGCCACTGGGAACAACGGCAACTCAGCCACCAAGTGGTAGGCCACGTCACATGACAGGGCGGGGTCAGCGCATGCTGAAGCGCACAGTGCGCAGAAGTCGCCAACTGGCTGCAGAGTCAATAGCTAAAGACCTCCAAACTTGGTGTGGGCCTTCAGATGAGCCCAACAACAGTGCGTAGAGAGCTTCATGGAATGGGTTTCCATGGCCGAGCAGCTGCATCCAAGCCTTCCATCACCAAGTGCAATGCAAAGCATCGGATGCCGTGGTGTGTAAAGCACATTGCCACTGGACTCTAGAGCAGTGGAGACGTGTTCTCTGGAGTGACCAATCATGCTTCCCTGTCTGGCAATCTGATGGACGTGTCTGGGTTTGGCGGTTGCCAGGAGAACGGTACTTGCCTGACTGCATTGTGCCAGGTGTAAAGTTTGGTGGAGGAGGGATTATGGTGTGGGGTTGTTCCTCAGGGGTTGGGCTTGGCCCCCTAGTTCCAGTGAAGGGAACTCTTATGGTGACATTTTGGACAACTTTGTGGGAAGAGTTTGGGGATGGCTCCTTCCTGTTCCAACATGACTGCGCACCAGTGCACAAAGGAAGGTCCATAAAGACATGGAGGAGCCAGTTTGGTCAGTCCTGACCTCAACCCCATAGAACACCTTTGGGATGAATTAGAGCGGAGACTGCGAGCCAGGCCTCCTCCCCCGACATCAGTGCCTGACCTGACAAATGTGCTTCTGGAAGAATGGTCCAACCTTCCCATAGACACCCTCCTAAACCTTGTGGACTGACTTCCCAGAAGAGTTGAAGCTGTTATAGGTGCAAAGGGCGGGGCCAACTCAATATTGAACCCTACGGACTAAGACTGGGGGGCCATTAAAAGTCATGTGTGTGGAAAGGGCAGGGCCAACTCAATATTGAACCCTACGGACTAAGACTGGGAGGTTATTAAAGGTCATGTGTGTGGAAAGGGCGGGGCCAACTCAATATTGAACCCTACGGACTAAGACTGGGAGGCCATTAAAGTCCAGGAAAGGCCGGCGGCCCAATACTTTTGGATTTGCCATCATTTTGGGTTTTGGTGAAAATGGTCACCCGGCCTAATAAAGTCCAAACAAATCTCCAAGGACTCAAAGGGCAATAAAGATCTGGCAGAGGTTCTCAAAAGAGATCTGAAGCATGAAAGCATTATTTGCTTGAATAAGCAAAGTCCTGCCTAAGGACAGACCCCATAGGTTGCCCGCTATTACCTCTACTAGCCAAAACCCTTCACTGTGCGCCCCTCTGAAACTGCTTCACCTTGTTACCGGGACCTGATTTCTCTGACTTTAGGACCAAGTCCTGCCAGCTGCCACCTCGCGCTACCTCTAATAAACCATTGCAATGATGTCATATCTATGATGCTGAAACATGGGGACTGGAGGCAGATGTTCTCCTCGGAACATTGGAAGATAATGGAGGCTGCGGTGACTGACGGTCATTGAGGTTCTTGCTCTGTAGGCCATAGTGACATCCCCCAGAGCACGATATTTGTCCCACTGCCAGATATTCCAATGGCAATCTGAGGTTTCTTACCCAGCCGGGCGCACTCATCCACCACGCTCTGTCCTGCAGCGTCCAGGATGGCTTTGGACACACCTAGGAAGGAAACCGCCACATACATGAGAGAATCCAACCGATAAAGACAAATATTTGCATGTTGTACCGATGATTCAAATATTGAGTGCTTATATGCTAATGTTAGGTTGTTTTCTAATGGGGTCACATGCTAGAATGCCTTTACTGAAGGATGTTATTGGAAGAAACGATTGTCCTCGGATTTATACTGAGATCACATGACACACAGGGGGACTCTATGTACTAATTAGGTGACTTCTGAAGGCAATTGGTTCCACTAGATTTTAGTTAGGGGTATCAGAATAAAGGGGGCCGAATACAAATACACGCCACACTTTTTCAGATATTTATTTGTAAACAATTTTGAAAACCATTTCTCATTTTCCTTCCACTTCACAATTATGTGCCACATAATTCTTTCTTTCTTTTTTTTTTCCTTCCTTCTTTCTCTCTTTCTTTCAGTCACCCAACAGCTTCCACCGGACAGTCAGAATTCTGCCTGTCAGTTTTATACACAATCCCGATAGCGGCAACCACCCAATTGTGTATAGAACCCCCTGCCGTCGTACGTCGTACGGACCTGGCGGTGAAAGGGTTAGAGGGATTTCTCCACATACCCCCCCCCCCCCCCCATCCCCCCTTAGGAAATACCTGATCTCATGGAGAATGTCCGGTCAGTTGAATTGACGATGATGTCCGTATCCTCCTTTGTTATATCTCCAGTTTTCACCTGATAAGTGACGGATCCGATCGTCAGTTCATGAGTCCCTGTCACCGGCGTGCTCACTGTGCCAAAGACGCCTGCAACAGACGAGAAGATGAAGAGGAGTTATCCCCACCCAGGACTTTTCCATCATTCTTCCTGAACTCTGCAACCAATACTACCAATACATCTATGCTGATCCATTGATCCACTGATCTTTGTCATCTCTGATTTTTGATGAAACCAGCAGATAAGCCCCGATGATGGTGACACTTCAGAGACCTCCAATCTCCCCAGCAACCCGAGCCATGAAAAAGAAGGAGATCTCCGGGTCTCCAAAATGTGTTGGCTGTGCTGATTTGGTCTTTGTGAACAAAAATCAATATTAAAATCATTTGGACTCTCAGACCTTTGAATCTCTTACTAGACTATGCGGATGCGTAACACCCTCCTAGTTTCCTCTATAGGTGCAGCAGCAGGGGATAATTGTGTACAGGAGGCCTTGGCTCTGTTACCTCCCCCTGTCTTCTAAAATCCTCTGGAAGTCTCCAGAACATGGTGGGTGAAGGGACAGAAGCTGCAGCCTGAATGTTCATGGAGCTTCCACCAATCCGTGAGAAGCACCCTCCTAGTTTGCTAGTAGGTTCCCTCTGTAGGCACAGGAGAACGGGATAATTGTGTTTAGGAGGCCATGGCTCTGTTACCTCCCCCTGTCTTCTATAATCCTCTGGAAGTCTGCAGCCTGAATATTCATGGAGCTTCCACCAATCCCTGAGAAGGCTGGTCCAGAAGGTGGGGAAGCAGCCCATAAATATTCTAAAGCCTGGCAGTCTGGGAGCAGAGTCCAGGGTCCAGACATCTAGAGGTGGCCCCTGTGCTAGGGGATTCTGTCCCTGGGGCAGAGAAGAGGAAAAGGAGAAAAAGAGAGAAAGAGGAGCAAGGAAAGAGCTCCGGGAACTCACCCAGCTTAGGTTTCAGCTAGGCTTAGCTACAGACTCCAAGCCAAGCCAGAAGCAGCCTGTCTAACAGAAAGGCCAAGACAGCAGTTACTCCAAAAACCAACACCCCTGTTTATTATTCAACCATCTGGAAGTGTGTGTCAGAGAGCGAGGAGCCAGAAACACAAGGAGGTGCAATTAAAGGTAGGTTTATTAATATAAAAAAATAAGACCAAGAGAGTCTATTGTAAGTCCAACAGTGGAAATCGTAGCCAAAGCCGGGATCAAGAGCCAGGAAGAATGGTCGCCAGAGCCGGGGATCAGCAGCCAGGAAGAATCGTCGCCAGAGCCGGGATCAGGAGACAGGAAGAATGGTCGTCAGAGCCGGGGTCAGAAGCCAGGAGGAGTCTTAGCCAAAGCCGAGTCGGTATCCAGGAAAGCAATGAGTAGCTAAACAGGAGCTTGCTGCTGTGCAAGAGACAGGACACAAATGCAATGGACAGCTACAAAAAGCAGACCTAAATGTGATAAGCCGCACCTCCTGGGGGAGGAGCTGCAGAGGGCTGAAAGCATAAAGGATCCCACAATGCTTTGCAGACAACCTAAGATGGATACCAGCACATGGAGCAGCACAAGCCCTGAGGAAAGGTAGGACCTTGACAGTACCTCCTCCTCAAGGGCCCCTCCCCCTCCGCAGCTCAACAAAAGGTTTCTGGGGTGAAAGTGGGCGTGGAAAAGCGCGGAGGGAGGGCAGGAGCATGAACATCCGCGGAAGGAACCCTGGAACGCTCCTCGGGACCATTACCCACGCCAATGGACAGGAACTGCACCCGACCGCGAACCAACCGAGAGTCCAGGATGTGGCTCACCTCATACTCCTCATGACTGTCAACCCGGATAGGACGAGGCCGAGGCGGAGAGGCAGTAAAGCGATTGCAGACCAGAAGCTTCAACAGGGATACATGGAAGACATTGGAGATACGCATCCCAGCAGGAAGAGCAAAGGGCATAGGCAAACCGGGTTCACCCTGGGAGGATGCGGAAAAGGACCAACAAACGGGGATAGGGAAGCCAGCTTCGGTGCGGGCACCGAAGACTTGAGGTTACGAGTGGACAACCACACTCCCGATCTCTGACCCGAGTATGAAGGAGCGGGCAACCGCCTACGATTAGCCTGGAGATTCTGGCGCTGGGCTGAGTCCTTCAAGGACCTCTGGATCTGCCCCATGAGGAACGCAGGGCAGCAAGATGGTTCTCCACAGCCGGAATGTCCTGTGGCGAAGAAAAAAACTCAGGCAATACAGCAGGTTGGGAACCATAGTTGGCCATGAAGGGAGACAGCCTGGAGGAGGAGTGTTGACAGCCGAGTTCCTCGTAAACTCTGCCCATGGCAGGAGATCGACCCAATTGTCTTGATGGTTAGAGATATAGCAGCAAAGGAATTGTTCCAGGGCCTGGTTGGAACACTCTGGCAGCCCATTGGAGTGCGGGTGGTAGTACAATAGGCAAAGAGAAGGAGAGCTTAATACCCAACTGGGAGCAGAAGGCGCGCCAGAACCTGGACACAAACTGGCTCCCACGGTCCGAGACAATCACCTTAGGCAACCCATGCATGCGAAAGATCTCCCTGGCGAAAACCGTAGCCAGTTCTTGCGCAAGTTGGCAATCTCTTGAACGGAACACAATGGCACATCTTGGAGAAAAACAATCAATGACCATAAGAAATGACCATATGGCCTCGAGACACAGGAGGTCTACAATAAAATCCCAATGCCCAGGTGTGACCAGGGACACTCCCCATTGGGAATGGGTTGCAGAAGGCCCAAAGGAAGATGCCGAGGAGATTTATTCTGGGCACAGACCGAACATGCCGCTACGTATGAGGCGATGTCGGGGAATGGAGAGATGGCCACCAGAATAAACGAGAAATGACCCAGGACAACTGGTTCCTCCTCAGATGACCGGCAGTCTT